TCTTTGTCCACTCGGCAAAAATTGATAGATATTGGTTGGGAATTGATGTTACACCCACCATATAGCCCTGTGATCTCGCGCCATCGGATTACCACTTATTTCGATCCCTGGGCAACTCCCTTCGTGGTAAAACTTTTAATGATGATGATGCTGTAAAATCTCACTTAACTCAGTTTTTCGCCGAAAAGGATCAGACTTTCTACGAGCGTGGAATTTTCAAGTTGTCAGAGAGATGGCAAAAGGTCATCGAACAAAATGGAAAATACATTACAGATTAAACTTCATCCCAAGTAAAAAAAATTTTTTATTTCATTGAACAAATCGGCAATTACTTAGTTGCCAACCCAATATATTACAGCGAATATCTATCAATATATATATCAGAATATCAGCGAATTTTATTTATTTATATATATATATATATATATATATATATATATATATATATATATATATCAGCGAATTTTTATCAAAACAAGTCATCCCTTCGAAAGATCGAGGAATGTTTCTAAATTGAATACGATGTAGATTTTATGAGCGGGACAAAACTGATCGAACAATGGAACGATAATTCCATTAGATCGAGTCATTAATAACTTCAGTTTTGTTGTCAGATATTTATTTCGTTTCTTTTTATTTATTTTTATTCTTTTTATTTTTCCTTTCTCATTTTATTTATTTCGAACCCTTATCTATTTAGTGAAAGGAAAACCTGGTTTGTCCCGAACGATAGATTTTAGCCAGCTGTATCGGAAGTTATTTACGACTCGACCTAACAATTTGTACTGCTTGCCTGGCCATATCAGAGATTCGGGAAACCGAATAAGATACAAAGTTCAATTACAAGTCGCAGCGTTTTCAGAACACCTCGCTCACAGATTGAAACGAATGGGCGAAATTTCATGTATGATACACGCACACCCATTATCGTTAATTTCATTCCTCGGAGTCCCGAGCACTCCATTTCAGCGGCCGATATACGGCCTTAAATTCTCGGACGGTGTTCCAGTTTCAATAGCAGAAAACTGAGAAAGATTGCTACACGTCGTCGCAAGTTCCTCGCAGCCCCCAAGAAACTCGGCCCATTAATCTTCCGGCAGCGCCGCGATACTTTCGCGCCGAGGCGACGCGGATTGTTCAGCACCGCCATGGGAGTTCCCGAACTTCATTTAGGTGTCTCCGTGAATTTATCCGTGCGTCGGGAAGCCATGGCAAAAGTGTCGGATCTCCGGGAGGGGCTAACGCAGTTCCGAAACAATGAAGGGGGCCGGTGGAATGCCGAGGAAACGGAGCCGGGTCGGAACAGCTGACTGCGAAATGAACGGCTAGCCGGCCAGACAGTCGGACAGACAGAGCGAAGAACGTCATCCCCTTTAGAAGGGCTCCAGACAGACGAACCCTCGAGGCAGCGGCCCTCCGCCCCGCTCGTTACAGCCCCGCCGGCCACCGTCCCATCGTCATAGCAACCCCTTGGATGCAGCAGCCTAACCAACCGATTTGCCCAACCCACGCCACGCGCGCGCCGTCCCTCGGCCCCCGTTGCCGGCCGCTCTTCGAACATTTACATCAAACACGCTTTTCCCTTTTTTTTACGCGGTGGAAATCAACCCTTTGTTCGCCGGCGGGGGTGGAAGCTCTCGCGTCTGCAACGCGCCCGATCGCTTTGTGGCTGCCGATTTCAAAGGGATCGAAGCGCTTCCCCGAGTTTCTTTTCGCTTTTCAAACAGCTTCCCGGGGGAGAAAGTCGCCGTCGCCGTCGCCGTCGCCGCGTGACGTTTTCCTCGTGCGTAAAATCGCGAGGAGCAGCGGCCATTTCGGAAGCCACGCAGGAACGGGACATTTTCACCGTGCGAAACGGCTCGCCGAGTCCGCTGAGGACCGCAATTTGCGGAATTGCCGCAGTTTCAGCGCCGGCTCGGCCGCGTCGAATCGACGCGGTGTCACGATCCTAAGGCTGCCTCGGCCTTCTTAAGATCTAGGCGGCCAGTCCTTCCTTCAGTCTCGCGATCTAATGCGACAGCGTGCCCGCACGGTCTATGACACCGCGGCGATCGATAGAAGAGTGCGGATTTTTCAGAGATGTTGGTTCTGTCGTCGAAGCTTCTGTTTGTGGTAGCGCTGACGGCATCGACTGTCGGCCAGGATGTCAAGAGCATGGTGTTTCCGCCGACCGGAAATGGCTCCGTTCCGGAGGCCCCGAGCAGGCTGGAAGCCATCCCCCGCACGGATATGACGCATCTTTCGGAGCCCTATGCGAGACCGTTGACTCCATCTCCGAGCAATTATCTACCCGGTAACCTTCCTAGTTCGTATCGCCGATTGCCAGCGGATAGATCTAGGACGAGTCGCCAGGATTCTTAGCGTTTCGTGTGCCACAGTTCCGCCGAGGACCTTTCTCAATCATCGCAGCGAGCTACCCTATGTGTACGAACATCCGAACTTCGCCTATCCTGTGGCACACTCGATCGATTACTCTGTGGGACCGTCCTCGAAGCATCTGGTGATCGTCAGCTTCATCGGGCTGCTCCTGCTCTTCGCTATCATACAGAATACACTGGCGTCTGTGAAACGCAGGGATATGCTTACCGATGTTCTGTCGGCCAGGGAAAAGAGGGACCTCTATGCTGCTTACGACTTTGATTCTGCGGTAACGTAACTTTCCTGATCATTCAGTTACCTATCGAGCACCGAATCAAGATTAACGACTTATTCTCTTGTGTAGAATTATCTTTACCTGGCTTGTGGACCAAGCTTGTAATTCGAAGCTCTTCTTTTGTTTGTAGTTTATTGGAACCCTTGAAAACAGGGACGAACGTCCATCTAACTACTGTTTCTTGAAACAACTGTCGGATCTTAAGGGAAATCGCTTGGCCTTTTGTTTCAGAACGCGGAGCAAAGGAATGTTCTATCGGACGATGTCAGGGTGCGTTGCATACAGAGGACGGTCTGCCTGGAGAACCGGAAGCTGACGAGGACGTTCGGCGCCGTTGGCAAAGTGCTCGCCAAGTACTTGACGTGAGTTCAAAAAATCGTTCTCGACTCGCGGAATTTAATCCTCCGCATGCGAAAGGGTCGCTGAATTCTCTAGGATTTATCCGAGGCTAGAAAATCGGGGACTGCGTTCCCGTTAATAGAAAATAGCTTGCCGAGAGGCTGGGAGATTTTGCGTGTATTTGGAACGTTTTCAGACGGAGCGTGGGCAAATCTCTGAGGTCGACTTCCGGTTGGGACCGTCTGGTCCAGGACGCAGGCGAGGCTGGAATTCGCGAGGAGGACTGCGACGTCCTCTACAGAGACTGCGAGGAGCAGACGTCCTCCGAGACTTCGGTAGAATCGCGCGACGAATGATTGAGACCGGGTAAAATAAATAAATGGAATCTGCTGCCGATTGGAATGTTCATTTTGTTGTTCATATTGGAACTACTGGACTATTTGAGAAGGATCTGAACAGTGGACGAATGAAAAATCGGTCGATATTAATGACTTTTAATTTTAATTACAATATGCTGTGTTGTGTTTTTTTTGTTCTTTATCCGCTACAAACATCGACATCTAGCCTGAACTATTTTAGATAGCAGTCCGCTCTATACACGCTCCATTTATACTCTCTCCCTCTCTTGCTCTCCAATCGTTCTCTCTCGTCTTCGGAATTATAAAAAAATATCAAATCACGAACAGAATGGAGACAAACGGCCGCGCGTACTGCACTCCCTACTTCTTTCTTTCTTTCCCTTTCTCTCTCTCTCTCTCTCGCTCCCTCTCTCTCTCTCTCTCTTTCTTGCCATTGTGTATGTTCTGCGTCGTCTGTTACATGTTTAATTCTCTCCTCGCTCTCTCGTCCCTTTCACTCACTTTCCCCATGCTCGTCCTCTCCGTGCGTTCACTGTTTACCTCCCGTTTACTCGTCATCCTCGCGAAACGAAATCTCTTCGCTGGAAATCCTCATCCTGTTCTTCTTGTGTGTTCACCAACTCTCTCTCTTTCTCTCCCTCCCATTCACTCTTGCCCATTCTCTCTCTCCCATTCACTCGTGATCTTTCTCCCTCGCGTCACAACTAATTATACAAGTAACGCTATCCATATTATTATCATTATAACATTAAGGCATTACATATTTATAAATTCTTCGCGTTCACTCGCCGCTATACAGCAATACCATGCTAAACTCGGTAAACTTATGCTTAAATAGACGTGAGATCGCTCGTTGCAAATAGTCCAGGCTTAAGGAAAAAAAAACACAAGAGAAAAGAACGTCGCCGGAAACGCGGGCGCGCGAAGCATCGGAAGTGGTCTCTCGAGGCCCGTGTCTTCGAGGCGTTCAACACTTCAACCCCCCCAGGCGCCATATTTGTAATAGCGAACCGAAGCATCGGCGCAGCTAGCTTTCAATTAGACACGCGACCGCTGACTTTATACGCACTTCTAACAACGATTGCAAACATATTACAGATACTTGAAATTAAAACTACCGCACCGCCGGTGGTCCGACGACCTTTCAGCAAGCACACGATAGAAATCGAAACAAATCATTTTATGGTGGAAATCACTTTTCGCGTGACTTCTCGAGTTGATTAGACGCAAAGATATACTTTCATACAGTTGCAGTTTCCCAAGATCGCCTTCGACAAATCTTTATCCCGCAGTCTACTTCGAACGTACGAATGAATTTACTTAATACGTTGCGTGTAGATGGCTTTAAAGAAATCAACCATCAGTTTATCACTTGCATTCGCGACTACAAAATTGTAAGCTAGTTAATTATAGCTACGCCGATGATTTTGCTCGCAGCTGTGTATCTGTCTACATCCTAAGAATCGCGACGAGTGTTCTCTCGGCGTTTACGGCAGAGCGATCGAAAGTTTTCGATATTTACAAGACGGATCGGGGAACGTGCAGCGAACGATTCGAACTAGGAACGTGAACGTTCTCTCTGTAGAAACGGTTGTGTTCGAGAACGCGAGGATCGGAGTGTTAAACGCTCTCCCGTCTACCCATTCTTCTCGATAATCTCGCTAAACAATTCACTAAATACGAATTTCGGGCAAAGAACGACTGGTTTCTCTCGCGGGTTGCGAAGAAAAGGAACGAAACTCTTGTCGAAGACCATCCGGTGCCAGATGCGCTCGCGTTCTTTGTTCTTTCGCCTTTCTCACTCTCTCCCATACTTCGCACAGACGCATACACACTCTTCTCTCCTCTATCCCCCTCCCTACTCACTCTCTCCTTTTCTCTTCGTTTTTCTGGCATTCACCCTTTGTTTGCTCGGCTCTTTCGCAGTCACCCTCTTCGAAGCATACACGCAAGCTCACACATATACACAGCATCGTTCTTTCAATTATCACTTGCACGCACGCGGCTTAAAGGTCTTGCTCATTATCGCATCGTCAATAAATTAGACACATTTGTCGAGGCAGCGTAGTTTGCACAGTCAGGCGGCAGGCAATTCACGGGGAAAAAATACCTCGGTGTACCCGCGTTCTGAGTTCTCCTCTCTGCTTCAGTATAATCTTTTTTTCTTTTCCGTTATCGCTTTCTTATATTTGTTCTCGTCGAACGCCCATCGCGACGGGGGATGCGAACGAATCGAACGCCGTCTTTTCATTGATCGCGCGAACGATCGATCGATCGACCGAGTTCCCACCACAACCGGGTCTCTCGCGAGATTTCCGATAATTAAAACACATTAGTCTAGTCGAAATCGCAAAGAAATTCGAGCGTCATACCGGATCGACACGATCCTCGAAATCACTTCAATGAACAATCCGTTTCCTTCGACGAAAACTCGTTGATCAATGAATTATTAAAAAAAAAACGAAAAGCAGAAGTTCTCACGGACTCGAAGCAAATCGCGTCACTTCGAGCGAGGAACGAACGATAACATCAAACTAAACGAAAGAAACGTGCGTAACGAAAACAACATAGAAATAAAAAAAACAGCGTCCCGAGAATAAAAATCGTTTTGAAGATCGCGCACCGATATAAAAGCACGTTTCTTTGTCGCTATACTTTTTCTCTATTCGGTAAAATCCATCGCCACGCGGTTATTAAACAACAGGAAGCTTCGGCGCGACCCGAGAAACGATCGTCAACGTTGATCCATCGGGCCGACCCGATCAATCGATCGATCGCGTCTCCATCCTTTCTATTATGTATATCTCTCGTAGATCGTCCTATTACCGTACAAAAACCGAATCCACAATTATGCCGACTAACACGATATAATCGATTAATCAATTAAACTATCGGGTCGATACAATAATAATAATAATATTAATCATTAATTAATAATAATATGTACAACATTCTAAACGCTATTACTTCGTTTGTCCTGTGTTTCATATAGCTCGTGCCATGCGCACCGTGAATAAAAACAATTGTAAAAAAAGGAAATTCTTTAAAAAAAAAAAGGGGGGAAACGAAGGTAAAGAACTCACGAATGCGTCTGCTATAAAATGGTCTCCCTCGTATTCTCTCTTTCTGTCGCTGTGTTTCGCTCTCTCTCTCTCTCTCTCTCTCTCTCTCTCTCTCTCTCTCTCACTCTGTCTAGGGTCCGCGGGCGTTGCCACACTCTCACTAGGTCCGCCTCGTGTGTCTCGCACAATTTATTTACTAATTTCCGCGCACTCTCATTGCTTCCGGTCGGGAACGTTGTTGCCGGTCAGGGACGTTGTTTCCACCCGGTTTTCCTTACTGTTAGAAAACTCACGACATGGACTTCGAGGATCGACGTACGGTGAAGCACGTCGCGGCGCTCGGTGGACCTCGTCCTCGGCGTTCGTTCGCTCGTATCTCGCTCTTCTTCGTTTACATATTTGTTTTCCTCTTCCGAGCTGGAGAGAGTCTCGAGTAAAAGGTGTGAAGGCGAACACTGCTTACGGACAGCGTTGTGCCGGGTGTGCGTATTGAGGACCGCAAGATATCGTGGTGTAGCGGCAGCCGATTGCGAGAGATCGTGCGTGTGCTATTCAGAACGGCTTTCGTTGCTCGCGGGTCGAAACGAGTCAAGACAATACAATTTTGGAAGACGCGGCTTGGTTTTTCTGTGTCTCTGAATACACGCGGGTCGAGGAGAACGAACAACAATTATGCGTGGCGTCAGCAAGGAACGACTCCTGACCTGAACAACGAAACAACAACTACGGTGACGAACGAAAGCAATACACCGACTCAATGAATTTTTTTCGTTTTCTCTTTTTCCATTTCTATCATCCTCTCTGTTCTTCGCGCCTTAGAACTTTCTCTCTCTCTCTCTTTCTCTGTTCGTTTAACTTTCCCGCACTTGGTTCGCGTTCTTACGGTCTTGGATACAATCACCACCCGCATATACATTCATATCGTCGTACCGATAGATATTATTATTATTATCATTATTATAATTATACCCTATGTACAAATCGACATCGCCGGCAACGCGGCATCATCATTAAACCTAAGCGACAAACGTAAGAGTAAAGAGTTACTAGGGACCAGTCATAATTTGTCATGCTAATAGTATATGTAGCAACACGCCCGGATATAATCATTTTTTGTTTACTATCATCGTCTTCGTCGTCTACGTCGGCCATCGTGATCCATTCTCGTCATCATCGCCGCGGGATCGTGACCGAAACATGACGTCAGCGCCTGTCTCGTTCTAAACTTTAGCCTAGACTTTAGCCTGCCTAATTGTGATTACTTCGATCGTATGAGGTAATTTCGTTTCTCCTTCTCTATCTCTCTCGTTTCATGTTTCTCTTTACTCGACCTTCGACTTGGACTGCTTGCGCGTGCACCGTTTCGCTCAAGGTCACGACAGATTATCCTGTCGTCGAACGCCGCGCGTGTCTCTAGGGCTTGGCTAACTCTTTTTAAAAAAAGGAAAAGAACACAGCAAATCGGAGGCGCGTTACTCAACGAATCATCAACATCCTCTCTCTCTCTCTCTTTCTCTCTATCTTACTTCCTTTCTTTCTTTCTTTCTTTCTTTCTCTCACTCATGCTCTCTCTCTCTTTCTTTCTTTCCCTCTCTCTCTCTCTCTCTCTCTCTCTCTCTCTCTCTTGCGTCGTTGACTTTTCTCTCCTTGTGTCCTTCCACCGTTCACGCACACCACTATACTTTATTAGACCTAGCATGCTTAGAAAATACTTGAAAAATGAGTCTATTGGAAGGTGGCTGCTCGAGTGGCTGGCTTCTTTTCTCACTATACACAGTTCCCTCGATTCTCGATGGCTCGATCGACAACAGAACCGTTTTCCTGGCTTCGTGGTCCGACACCTTGAAGACATCCTCCCCCGCTGCGATAGGTCCTCGACCCTCTTCCCGGTTGCGTCGTGGCCGGACTAGAACGAGACCGCAGTCCCCCTTTGTTCGTTGACTAATTAATTAATCGAAAGTTCACCCGTATCAGCCTCCAGACTCGACTAAGCCTAACGTTTTCTTTTACTGGCCAACAGTAGTGTGAAGCGCTGGTATAGGTTTTCACGGTCCCAGACAATTTTCTTCCGGTTTCTTCTTTCTTGCTCTCACGGCGTCGTCACTTCCACGTGGGACGTTCTAACGGTGCGCGGGGGCGTCGGGAAACGAGTAAAAAAAAATAAGAGACAGCGGCGCCCCGAGCGAAAGCTACCCGAACAACTCAAAGAAGAAAAGAAAAATCAAACAGAAGAAGATTATACGCGCCGCGTCGCTCGCCGGTTGTTATAACAATCAATAAAGACTTCAGCACGAATTAAATCGTGTCGACATAACACAAAACAACAATATCACCTAAATAATAGTTGCTAGCCCGCCGAGTGTACAGCTTCGCGCGGCTCGTTCTCGAGGAGCTTGCTCGTCGCTTTCCTGAAACGACGGGAGACGACGAAGACGACGCGCGATTCAGAGTCGAGCACGACCGTTTTCTTCTTCTTCTTTTTTTTCTTTTCGTGTACAGGCGACGTCGAGGCTGACGGAGCGAGGACATAGCGCGCGGCAGACGGAGCCAACGGGAATCATGACGAGGACGATGGGGAGAGAGGACGCGGAGGGCTCAGGACGCCGAGGATGACGAGGAAGATGACAAGGAAGATGACAATGAGCATGATGAGGAAGACGATGACGACCGCGATCGTACTCGTCTCACCACGATGTTCCCCCGTGCGTCCAGGTGGCAATAGAATAGCGCGGTGGTGGCATGGTACGCCACAGTCGTAATCGTGGTGGCATTCTCACTGGCGCCACTCGGTTGTTATCTCCTGTCACGATATAGGAGATAAGTCTCCATCGCCTGTGGCAGGTTCAGCATCTGAATTTTCTCTTCTAGTCTGTGCTTGCCGATCCGTTGGCGGATCACTCTTCGACAGAGATCCATCAGAGGCAGAGGTTCCGCTGCAAGTCAACCCAATCAGGTCAGTTAATCGAAGAACCCAAACAAACTAGGACTACTGTGACGGTGTACTTACGATCTAGTCCGCCAATGTACTTCATCGTGATCTCACAGTGTCCCCACACGGCCGAGACGATAGGGTGCAGCTTCCTGCCCTTAAGGCCCCTGAACGCGATCCCAAGGTACTGGCCGTCCACTACGAACGCTAACGTACCTTCGTCCATGTCTAGGACCACTGAGAGACGAGGACAAACGTTTCCATTAATCATTAGCGATTCAGTCCGCGAACTTCCTCAACACATTCTGCAGAGCAGAGTAGCCATATTTGAACCAATGAATGTTGCGAAACGAAAGGTACTAAGGAGTACCCAAAGAGCAAGAGATCCAGACCTTGCTTCCGATACGGCTACTCCCTGCTAATCTTCGAGGATTCCTTACCGAGGAATTTGTCAGGAACGATGAACGTCTCGTCGGGCTTGAGAAGGGCCGGATACGTGACGCCATTGTTGTTCTTTGAGTCGTGCAGCAGCCTATTCCTGCCGAGATCCCAACCCCAGCTGAGATTGTTGTTACCCACCAGACTTTGGTAACCTACACTGTGGAGAGGCGCGTCCGCCGTCGCGACACCGACAACGGCGTGCGTGCCTCGTTGCCTCGTGCTCCAGTACAGCTCCCACACGTGCATTCCCTTCGTGTAGCCTACCTTCCCCCTGATGCAGTCCGTGCTCTGCGCCACGGGATGTCGGTGAAACGTCAACTTGTCGTCGTCCTGCGGAACCGGAAGCGAATACAGATTACAACTTGCGTCTACCCCAGTCCACATCGACGATCTTATTCCAAACTTCGCGTCAAGTTTCCACTGGACACCCTGCCGTTGTACTCCATGCCATTTAACCCTCGCCTCGTTCTTTACCTCCCGGAAGTCTCTCAACGCGAATACCGAGTTCTATCGTGAATGTAAAGCTTTTGCAACGCGCTTGGAACTTTGTTGCGGCGATTCACTGCTCACAGGAACACATATACTTCAATTTACGTCAGTTGAGGGTTTATACAGGGTGTCCTAAAAATGTCTCGCAATTCGAAAATGAGGGATTCCTAAGGTCATTTGAAGTAACTTTTTCCTCGGTGAAAATGCAATTCACGGCTTTGTTTATAAGTTATTAACGAAAATCAGTGACCAATGAGTGGCAAGCTGGAGCGAGACGGCCGAGCCAATGGGCGGAACTGGGCTCCGTGCGCCCGTTGGCTGGGCCGCCTCGCGCTAGCCGAGCTCGCCTCTTATTGGTCAGTGTTTTTCGTCAATAACTCGTGAACAAAGCATCGGATTGCATTTTCGCTAAGGAAAAAGTTACTTCAAATGACTTCAGGAACCCGCCATTTCCAGATTACGAGACATTTTTGGGACTATAAATTCTGTTAACAACTGTGCTACATCCGGAGGATGCGCAATCCTGGAACTATCGAAAATTAATTCAAAGGCAGCGGGAGTACGCGTTCAGCCTCGATTTGGAATAAGATCAGCTACGACCTTACCCAATTTCGTCTGACAACGCGATAGAAACGTGGATTAATCTTACATACGTACGGATGGCTCGTTTCAAGAACACTATGTTCGAGGAGGACGATTCTCACGAAAAAATGTCCGGAGTGCAAGACATTGTGGGAGAGCTCGAAGAGACGCGTACGATAGAGATGAGCGACGTTAATGCAACCGTCAGTCGCGGTTTCTGGTTTCTCGGAAGGACGTACCTTGACGAATATGTTCAAACTACGGTCCTCGGCGTTCCAGCTGTGGTGTATCTGCGTCTCCCGCAAGGCGGGCGGCATGTCGAGGAGGATGTCGAGGCGGGCGGGCCTCGAGAAATCTTGCGCCAGCTCCCTGGGTACCACGGGTTTGTACGCCACGGTGCCTCCGCCGCCGCCGCCGCCTCCGACGCCGATTGCGGCGCCCGTTCCAGTTCCGCTCTCGCGCGTCACGCTCTTCACGCCGCCTGCAAAACATCAGGGTTGGTCAATAGAATCACCCAGCACTCCCATTCTCCATGCCCTTCTATCCTCGTTCGCTTAACTCTTCCGTCAACGTCTATTCAGTCAATTTTCGTCAAAAGCCTGTACAAAGGTTAGACACCTCTCCTGAAAGCATCCCTGAAATACGGCAACCCGCCGGCAGACGTGCTTCGGCAGGTCTGCAGGGGCGCTCGAACGTGCGACTAGGCAGGAAATTCAGATCCTCCAGGACCGAACGAGCAAGTCTGCGACCTGCAGCAGGTATCAGACGAGACATCGTAGTCGGTTCCCGACAGGTTCTACCTGCGGAGTCACAGGATCGCGAACTTACGATGGTCCAGGGGCAGTCCAACGACCGCGACACGGCCGGCGTTTCGCCGTCGTTGGTGGATTTCCACAGGGTCGTTAATAATTCAAGACGCGTTCGCGGGGTTCATCCTGTGGCAGAGCGGATACCTGGCAGGCGTTGTTGCCGGGTAGATTCGCGGAGGAATCGGTGAAAAAAAGAGTGCAAGAAAAATAATGAAGGGTTCGTCCGTCGGTGCCGTCCTCCGGCGGGCACACAGCAGGCCTCGTCGAAGGTTCTCGAAGGCTGCTGGTGCTGCTCTTTCGCCACTGCGGTGCTCTCGCAGGTTCTCGGCCCCACTCTTCTCTCCTCGGTTGGGCTAGGGTCGAACACGGGGCGATATCCTCGGATGCTGGTTTATTTGCTCTGGCAGCTGTTCCCGACAGCGTTTCGAGGGTTCCGAAACGAGGGTTCTGGAAAGGTCCGTGAGGATTTCAAAGGGTCTCCCGTGCCCGAAAAGCCGAGGGGCACTAATAGAAAGGGCCTTTCACGGCCCTCTCTCTCTGTGTATCCGGTCGGTTGGCCGAGCCTGCGGGTCTCCTTCGGGTTCGACGCGTCGCTCGGGCTTTTTTTCGGCGTCGTGTCCGAGAGTTACGATACTCCCGGCTCGTAAATTTCACGGGCGCAGCAGAGAGAGAGAGAGAGAGAGAGAGAGAGAGAGAGAGAGAGAGAGAGAGAATAAGAGAGGGAGCTGCGAATTGGCTGCGGTCTACGGCGACAAATTTCCCGAAAAGGCGAGCAACGAGAGAGGAGCGCCGTTACAGGATCCCGGCGAGACGGAATCGATTTCCGGAAGCGGTCGTAAATCATGGGAGCGGGGCCGGGATCGACGGGGAAACGATTAATCGGCGACGGTGCCGGTGTTTTTTCCACCGTCGAGAGCCTGCCCGATGGATCGTGACCGTTCTAATGAGAATCGTCGGCTCTCCCGGTAACTAATTAGCCGCGGAACTTGTTACGCTAGGCTGGCCGGCCGTGTTACGCCGCGTAACGCGTGTATGCAAATAATTAGCGACCCGTTACACCAGCGAACTACGCGCGCTCCCTACGGCGAAACTTTCGTGGAACTTTTCGAAAGGAACCTTTTCTTCGACCGCCGTAACTTTCAAAGGCGTGTATACTGCGCAAGCGACCCGGCCCGAACTACCGATCCGGTAGATGAAAGGGAGACGAATGGACGAGCGAGCGGCCGGAAGCGGTAGACCAGTTTCAAAATAAATTCTCCGCGCGCAGCGGATAGAAGAGCGGGATAAACCTGCGGTTCCACAGGGTCGAAGTAGCACCGGCTGCGGTACGCCTTTCTTTTTCCTTTCACTTTTTAAACTGTGGCCGTCGTCCCCGCCGGGTCGACACGGGGCCGGCCGATCGGCAGGATTTATGGAAAGGTTAATTGTATCGGTGATTAATAGTTTTTCACTTATGTAAATTCGTGGCCGACCGTGGTAACAAGAGAGCCACCAGCCAGCAGAAAACTTTCGCCTCGAAACCCGACCGGTGCTTTACGACTCGTTTCTCGCCGGAGGATAGAAACGAGGAGACGCGGGTCCGCGGGACCTGTTCGAAGCTTCTACCTGAGCAGGTAGGTAAAATCGAGAGCGGTCAGAGGCCTTGACCCTGGTCAAAGCCCGGCGAGGCGAGTCGACGCCGAAACTTCCTTTCCCGCGCAGCATGGCNGGAGCTGCGAATTGGCTGCGGTCTACGGCGACAAATTTCCCGAAAAGGCGAGCAACGAGAGAGGAGCGCCGTTACAGGATCCCGGCGAGACGGAATCGATTTCCGGAAGCGGTCGTAAATCATGGGAGCGGGGCCGGGATCGACGGGGAAACGATTAATCGGCGACGGTGCCGGTGTTTTTTCCACCGTCGAGAGCCTGCCCGATGGATCGTGACCGTTCTAATGAGAATCGTCGGCTCTCCCGGTAACTAATTAGCCGCGGAACTTGTTACGCTAGGCTGGCCGGCCGTGTTACGCCGCGTAACGCGTGTATGCAAATAATTAGCGACCCGTTACACCAGCGAACTACGCGCGCTCCCTACGGCGAAACTTTCGTGGAACTTTTCGAAAGGAACCTTTTCTTCGACCGCCGTAACTTTCAAAGGCGTGTATACTGCGCAAGCGACCCGGCCCGAACTACCGATCCGGTAGATGAAAGGGAGACGAATGGACGAGCGAGCGGCCGGAAGCGGTAGACCAGTTTCAAAATAAATTCTCCGCGCGCAGCGGATAGAAGAGCGGGATAAACCTGCGGTTCCACAGGGTCGAAGTAGCACCGGCTGCGGTACGCCTTTCTTTTTCCTTTCACTTTTTAAACTGTGGCCGTCGTCCCCGCCGGGTCGACACGGGGCCGGCCGATCGGCAGGATTTATGGAAAGGTTAATTGTATCGGTGATTAATAGTTTTTCACTTATGTAAATTCGTGGCCGACCGTGGTAACAAGAGAGCCACCAGCCAGCAGAAAACTTTCGCCTCGAAACCCGACCGGTGCTTTACGACTCGTTTCTCGCCGGAGGATAGAAACGAGGAGACGCGGGTCCGCGGGACCTGTTCGAAGCTTCTACCTGAGCAGGTAGGTAAAATCGAGAGCGGTCAGAGGCCTTGACCCTGGTCAAAGCCCGGCGAGGCGAGTCGACGCCGAAACTTCCTTTCCCGCGCAGCATGGCCGCTCTTAGGACTCGGCCGACGAATTTACACGACCAGTTTAGCTTCTCGCTCTCGGCCCCGAGCTGTGTCTCCCTTCCTTTTTCCCCGCTTAAACCGCGCACCAAGAAACAACTAGAACTCCGCGCGGGACACCATTAACCTACTCCGCGGGTATCCACTTCGAGGGGCTCTCGGACAACGTCCAAATATTTGCGACACCAGACGCCGCAACTAATCCCCTCGATCCCCAAGATTCCGTTGCAATTACAACGCTGCCACGGGCCGAACAACTCGCCTACAACTCGGTTATACCGACATTCCTGCGCCCCGACGCGCCGGCCGACCAACTTCGGATAACTGAATATGCACGGAACCCGCGAACTTGCGCGCTACGAAAAAGTAGCGGCATTCCAGTTTCTTAGGGCAACGTCGACCGGAAAGGCTAGCTCGAAGATAGAGCCCAGATATTTCATCCCTTTGACGTGTCTAAGATGAACAGAATGATTTGATGAAAGTTTGCCTGACTCATCGACAGAAATGAACTGGAAATTTCATCCCCTTACCGTGTATAAGATCAACAGAATGATTTGGAAAGTTTGCCAATTTGTCAGTGGAAATGGTGTGCGAATGTCGGACACGGTGTTTCGAATGAACGAAGCTCTACGTTTTAAACGCGTTCTGATTCTGCGTGAAGCGAACGCACGGGGCGAAGTAGAAATAGAACTTTAGACCGGAAATTCGAACTGTTCGATCCCTTTTAGCGGTGAGACGCAAAGTTTTGAATCTTTTGCCACCTCCTAGTTGGTTCGAGATCCTTGGAAATGGATCAGGTCAAATATCGATCTTGATTTTCGCAGCCAGATCCAATGCAGATCATGAACTTCGGAAATCGTGACCCGTGACACATTACCTTCCTCAGGATCTATGTCCGGAGGCAACCTTTGTCGCCCTCTTCGTCGTCGTCGTCGTTGTTGTTGTTGATGTTGTAGTCGTAGTTGTTCTTGTTCATGTTGTTGTTGTTGTAGCAGTCGTTGTGCTAGTTGTTGTTGTTGTTGTTGTTGTTGTTGTTCTTGTACTTGTTGTTGTCGTAGTTGGTGTCCATGTGCTAGTTGTTGTTGTAGTTGTAGTAATAGTTGTTGTCGTAGTGCCTGTATGTGTTCCGATTGTTCCTCGTCCGGTGCGTCAGGATTGAAAGCGATTTCCTCTAAGATCGCAAGAGAGTGCGGTCGAAGCAAGTTCAGGTCAAGTCGAGTCGAGTCAGGGTGGGAGATTCGAAGTAAGGGGAAACATTTGTTCATAGCGGTGGGTCTCCAAACATTCCGAATAGGTTTACTATTTGAAGATATCAGATTTACTCAGGATCGTGGATCAAGCAGGCTCGAAACAAGCTTGAGAACTTTATGGTACTTTGTGCCAACCGTGGGATCTATATCACATTCGCCTTGACGACCCATCGCTACGTATACAGTGATTCTCGTTAATATTCGGACACTTTTCAAAATGCAATAACTTTTTTAGAACTGGTCTTAACGACTCGAATTTTTGTTAGATGATACAAGAGCCGGTTTACAAGACCGTAACTAGAATGCATTCTTTAAATTTTGCTATTGCTTAGAATGATAAAAAAAAATAAAGACTCCCGTTTTCTTAACTTTTTTGGCTGTGCTTGTAACGAGAGTTTTAAAAATGCGTTTTGTAGTTCTCGGTAAGTTGTATTTCGTCGGAATCGGTTAATGCAAAATCAGGTTACAAGCGTTAAAAGATTTCCAGAACTGCTGATTTCTCACACCAATTGGTCGAAAGTGTCGACAATCGGGACAAAACTGCGATTTTCGTGATCTTTAATTGTTTACAGCTCATAACGAGGTCAACCGATTTCAACGAAATTTTTAATTAAATTACGCATATAAATTACCAGGATCTACAAAAACGCATAATTTAAATTTTCGTTATAGATTCGGATAAAAAATATGGAGATCGTGAGTTAGTTTTTTTTTGTCATCCCAATCAACAAGAAAATTTTAAAAAAGCATTCTATCAACTAAAAGAAAATTCAGGTCGTTTAGTCCGGTTCTAAAAAAGTTATTGTATTTTGAAAATTGTCCGAAAATTAACGGGAGTCACTGTAGCTTGCTTTTTGGAAGAAGACGCCCGAAGTATCCTCAGCGTTATGGTTGCTCTCCGAATAGTATGCATTCTCCTATGTATTTTAACACGTTGAGAGTCGCGTCGGTCGTATATGGACGACGTTAATTTTTAACTAGATTTTGAAATTCTTTTTCTTATTGCAAAACTTAATATCACCAGAATTTTTAGGATACAAAAGAGTTAAATAATATATTTCCCAAGGAAAATTTTAACTTTCTAATTTCGATTTCATGAATGAAATGACTTTCACATTGTGGCAATTTTTAAAACGTTGACTGTTATGCCAGTGTCTCCAAAAGACACGCAAAATTATTATTTACGATTATTTAACAATGCAACAGTGGAGTAGATAAGATCTGTTATAGCAATTTCTTTTGTGATTCTGTCATATCTCGTAGATCCTAATAAAGTTTGGCATACGTAATAGATTGCAATAAAAATTAATATTCAAGTTCGATAGCAAAGTTCCGTTGGTCCCGCACGACCGACGTGACATACAATGTGTTAAAAGCGACTCTCCTAATCGTTCAAATAGCCTCCAAAAAATGATATATATACATCATTATTAGATAGTGAATTTTATACATTTACGAGAAAAATTACGAAAAAATTACGAACACTGTTACATCATTTTCAACCTACTAAATTCATTAGCAGAAGAAATATATTTTTATTCGACTTCTATTTATTGCAGTCGAGGTAAACAATTTTCATTTTGCACAAAGACCCGTTGTCTAATTATTATACAGAGTAGTAAGGAGGTAACTCTGTGTTCTCCACGTGTCGAGAGAAACGTATGGGTACTTGGTTCCGCGGAAAAATATACCCCCACCCCAGAGCATCGTCTAGCGAACTATTGGGAGAGAGAGTACCGGTACTTAACAAGTGCCAGGACATTCGTAGCGTGTTCTTCCGAAAAACGGGAGCGCCGTATCGTAGAAGAGCAGCAGTAGTGGTGGGTTCTAACCTGAAATTTTTTGGCCCATGTTCATGCCCCGATGGTGGGAGCGATGGTGTGGGTGATGCCGGTGATGATGCGAGTGGTGACGGTGTTCGTTGCACAGCTTGCCAGCGGGCAGCTTGTACTTGTGGTGCCTGGTGCCGCCGTTGGTGGTGGTGGTGGTGGTGGTGTTGGTCGTGGTGGTCGTGGTGACGAGGTGGTGATGATGGTGATGATGGTGGTGGTGGTGGTGGTGGTGATGACGGCCGGTGGTCGGTGGTGCAGCGGGCACCGCGCCACCGTCTATTCCTCCTCCCCCGCCTCCTCCTCCTCCTCCGCCTCCAACGCCGCCGCCTCCTCCTCCTCCGCCTCCGCCGCCGCCCCTGCCGGGGCTTCCACCCCCGCCGCCCCCGCGGCCGCCGCCTCCGCTACCTAGACCGCCTCCGGTACCGCCAGTCGCGCCGTTTCCGCGGCTACCGCCCCCGCTCACGCAATGATTCGCTTTGTACCTGCAATGCGAACACACAGTGGGAAAACCTGGTTAGTTTAATTTGTCCTCGTTCAGCCGGCGCATTGATTTTTCAACCGGCCACAGTGCCGCTCCGCCGGTGCCGTGTTTCTCCGTTCCGACACCGAGCGACCGTGTACAACACACTCCAGAGAGGACAGTGCGACATTGTGTTCGAATTTATACACGAATTCAACACCTTCCGTTCCTTACTCGCGAAACACTCGACGAAATCCGGGCTCCGAATAACCCATTTCAGGTCTACGTACCGCTAGCTTTCCGGTCACTTTCGGTTTCGGTTTCTACGATGCCTTCCTCCGGCTTGCCGCATCGCGAGTAAGACACGGTTTGAACGTTTCAGCCCTTATCGGGCATCAGATGCTCGAGTCTAACGTACGTACAATGTCACGTGCGAGGTGACTCGTGACCGTTAAGGGTTAAGTGCGAAGCAACAATAGCTGAAACACCGTTCTACAAACATCCTAAACACGTTAAACGGCGTGCCTGTTTGTATTGCTTTTAGCACGCGTTATGATATTCTGTGGAACCTGCGATTATCGTGTTGTAATAAAATGCTCGTTAAAATTCTTTATGGTAACAAGTAGTATTTGGACGTATATTCTACTTTTTATGTTCTCCGAATTATTCAAAATTTATACGTATAGTAGAGTATAATTTTTGATCGTCGTCGCGACTGACGACGCACAACTTTAAATATAACATTACTCACCGGTGACTGGTACAGCGCTTAGCGTGTTAATCATATTTTAGAATCATCACAGAACGGTTGACGTCAGAATAAATACATTGTAACGATGAGATTTGAAAAAGTAGCAACGTGTCTTCACAGTTTCCCTTACACTCGGCCCAAGCGCCGAAGTAAGAATCACTGAATAAACAAGCGCTGAATCCAAACAACTTTCAAACTACACAGCCCTCCGCTTCCCTCTTTGCCAACCAGATAACGATTAGAAGCGCGCGGAAAACGTTCGGCGAGCGCGGAAAATCGAGATCACGCGGCGCGCGACGAGCATGCTCGGGGTATCCGAACAAATTCGCGTGCCCGGCGAAATTCCGGTTGTTGTGTGTCGCGCCGTGTCCTGCGATATTTATTGCCGACACGATCGCGTCGAATAATATCGTAATAAATTCGTGGCGCGGCCGTGTTCACGGTCGTTCGGCCCCGCGGCGCTCGTCGCCGCGTTTGATGTCGCGCATAAATACCGCGCGGAAACGGCGAGGACGCGTGTGCGCTTGGGAAAACATCTCGCAGGAGCTGGTACACATCTTGCCAGTTTCTGTTCGCAGTCGCGAGCAACCGCGCTAAAACGGGGAAAGAATTCTGTTCGGCGAGCACGTTGCAAAAAAGATTCGTCCAGAAACCAGTCCGGTGAACTTTGAAGCGGCCAGCAGCGTTTGCAGTGCAACATGGACAATCGGGATTGCGAGGACACGTTGCGAGTAGGTACATTCGAAATTTGGCCGTTGGGAGGTTGGCAGTTGGCACAGAGGTGGTATTGAAACGTGGATGATAGCTTTACGTCGCAATTTATGTTTATATTCGCGATCTGTAGCAACCGGACTGCGGATTTTACGGATTTATGACAATAATGTGTAGTTGAAACTCGAAACAGTGAATAAATTTGACACTAGAACTACCAAAACGGTCAAAATAATTGATCTCTGATTTTTTTCTTTTACGATTTATGACATTATAAAAATGTGTCTGTGAGAAATTTTTAGATAAAAACTTCTTTATTCGAGCAAACATTATGACAGAAATCCTACAAAGTTCAAGTAAATCGAATATTCTCATTGTTATAAAACAATACACATTTGTTGCGATTAGAACTCGGTAGTTCTGGTGTTGAAGGATTTGAAGATACTATTGTATTACGTTCAACTCATTATGCTTATTATAAAAAAAAAGAAAAATAAATGTCGAGCTGCTGCGTCTTGCGGTCAATACAGACAATCTTTATTTTGCATAAAAATCTGTAATAAGATTCCTCCGCTATGCTACTCGATAGTCTGTACACTCGCTCGATAACATTTGGTGGCATCAGTATATGGTCCGTCCTTCATTTTCGAAACCAGTCGCAGTCTGTGTCAACATCCCAAGTGCCCGCTAATGCATATTGCCGAACGCGGTGAGTAACAGAGCAAGTACCGACGTTGTAAACTGCGGTAAATTCGCGTTGAAAATTGAAAGCGTCCAGACCGTTCCATTAGAAGTGCACCGGTCGTTCGGAAGTAACGGGAAAATTGTCGTTCAGGCGTTTCAAGAAACGGGAAGCCCGCATCGTTAAAGCGTGCCCCTAAAGACGACGACGAACGTCGATTTATCGCCTACATTCGGTTCAACCGCAGTTCGAGATAAGATCGCCGCATTCCTCAAAGAAGCAGCGATCGTTGAGCATGCATTGAACTTGATTCTATTCTTAAATTGAACGGAGAACCAATTTCGGGAAATGACATCGTTGACGATTATTCGTTGCTGACCGCGACAACGGCGGCGTTTCTCACCGTGAACTTCGTGGCCTGCGAAACGATAACAACGGTTTATCGGGGTGGTCGCCGCAGGAAGAATCTGATTTCGTGAAATTCGAAGGACGATCGTAGCCGCAGCCGACCGCAGCGACTAATCGGCGGACAACTTGAATGAGATTCGACGGAGTTCCTGGTCGATGAATCGACGCGAGCTATGGAAGGAAGTAACGCGGTCTCTGCGGCTTTTGCTCGACGGTCGTCTCTAAGCGAAGGTGAACGGGAACGAGGAACCACCTGCGCCTGGAAAACAAGGTTCCGGGACCGAGGCCGCTCCAATTTTTGCAGCCGGCCGCTTCCGGCGACCTCGTGACGTAATTTCGCGCGAACGATGCTCGTGACTCGCTCGTATCCGCGCGGCGCGGCTCGCTTCCGGCCACCAACACCGGACACTGGCATCCGGGATTCAGCTGGATCCGGTAATGATCGAGATTAGCGAAAAAAGCTTCCGCGAACAGCACCCGCGGGAATTTCTCAGCGGGTTATTCAACGGACTTTTCTCGAATACTCTCGGCCGAGCTCGGACGCGATGTTCGCAGGCTCCGAACCCGTTCTTCGATCAATCGAAACCTGTCAGGCTCGATCGTCGCGGTCCCTCGACCCTCGACCTTCGACCTGCTCGCTCCTCCTGTTTAACCTCGGTTGTTGCTCAAGTGGAGATGCGTGGAGCGATTTATCTGCTCGTTAATCGCGAATCGTTTCGCAAGGCGTTCGCGTTCAATGTTCGTTCGTTCCTCTCGTCCAATGTGGCACGAGCTACCGTCGACGGCCATCCGAGAATTGAATGAATTCGGTCTAATCGTTCGTGTTGATTCGCACGGTGGCCAACGCTCTGTGCTCGGGTGAATGTTCACCCGGGCTGTTAGAAACTCCATCAAACTTGGAGATTTCTGGCCGGTGAACGATTGTTTCGATCTGAAAGGGGATCGATGCCGAGAAACCTGTTCGCGAGTACGCACTAACTCGATTCAGGAAATTTGCTCGAGCATCTCGCCGACAGATTAGAACGAGCATTGTACGAACATGAAGTTGTGCGTCGAGTCGCGGAAGCCCGAACGGCGGCGTAACGAGATGATTTTCTGGGACCGGGGTTCTTCCCGAAGGGAAAAAAAAAAGTGATCGCAGGATCGAGCAGGATGCATCGCGACGCTCGGTTCCCGCGGAACCGGAAACGCGCTCGAGAAACCTCGAATTTAATTTGCCGCTACGGAACGGAGTCAAGTAAGACGCCCTTCGCTCGGAACGCAGCTCCTCGCCGTCACGGCTGTTGCCAGCTCGCCGGCGAACGCTTCTCTCTCTCTCTCTCGGTCTCGAACGAGTCGCCCATTAATGGCGGCTTGATCCCCGTTAGTCAGAGGCCGACTCTAATCCCGAACACAATATTACGCGCTTCCTCGGAATGGGAGAAAGTGCTCGTGTAATCTCGCGGCGAGCCGCGGCGTCTTCGTTGCGTCACCGTCGTTCATCGGCCGGTTTAAAGCGGCCGCCGCCGCTGCCGACGTTACGGTCGCTCGATCCGAACTACTTTCGCGTGTCGGCCTAAGACAAGCCGGAAAACCGGCGACCGATGCCTCTACGCGCAACCGCCTCGCCTCGAACAATGCCGCCGCGGAAGAAAGTTCTCTGTTCATTGATCGCAGCTGACTTTGCCGGACCGCGCTGCTCTCGAACGCTGGGTCCGATTCGACCAGAACGATTATTATACGATGTTACATTTTTCGATTATTTGTCACGAGAATCGACGAGCCGACGGCTTGTTAAAATTGTTAAGAGATCAAGCCTCTCTCTCTGTTTCCAGAAATTAACGATAAATCGACTTTGTTTCGCGAAGCGTCTTGCGTCATAGGAATGACAAGACGGAATTTATTTAAACTGTTCGGCATCTTTGCTATAACGTGCATTTCGACTAAGGAATTTATTCAATTTTTCAGCACGGAAGGAGTCCCCGTAATTCCAATTAAAATGTACAACCGTACGGTAGATTTTGGGTCAACGCAAGAGAGTGCGGATTATCAGATCGCGGATTTCGTGCATTTATGAGAAAACTGGTAAAGCGAAATACATGATAAGGAAAATCGGAAGAAGAATGAAAGGACACGGGTACGTTACTTTTTAAACAATTAGAACTGTTAAGAGAGTTTTCAGTCAATTTCTATTTTTTGAAACCGATGGAGAAAATGTTGATTTCGCATAAAGATCCACAGTCCAGTAATTATCAAGCCAGCATATTCACAATTCGGTTTCCTATCTAATTAGCTCGTATCGGGAATTCTCGATCGACGATCGAATCTAAATTAACGATCGACGATTCCAGGTCGTGCGATTATTTTCCGGTGACGGGAGCGAGAAGGTTCGAACGAAAGGTGCAGAGGCTGCAGAGTATGGACTTCGAAACGGCGATCGGTCGGAATTCTTTTTTTTCCTTTTTACGAGGGCGTTGCAGTCAGAGATGATTTTCTCGAGGCGTCTGGATCGAATGGCATTCGATTTCGAGAGGAAATACGGGAGCACCGGTCGTTGGCGAGCATGGTGGAGGCGCCCAACCGGCAGCGGTATTGATCCGCGGGGGTCACCTTTGCCCCACCTCGACACGAGACCAACCCCCGAATCCACCGGCGTGTCCCCCCTAGCCTCCCGAGCCCCTCTGGGCTCCAGTAACAACGACACCCACAGACGAGGGGAATCGGCGAGGGTAGAGGGAGAAACGACCAGAGAAAAGAGAGACACCGGCGGCGTGTACCCCTTCCACGAGGCTCGTAAACTGACAAAAATGCGCCAGGAAAAATCCAGCGGCCTTGCAGGCTTTCCACCGGTCTCATATTCCACTGAATTGGGGCACGTTTCACCTGTTTTCGCGGGATTAACAGGTTTTCCGGGCCCCGCGCGCTGCTCCGCCGAATTCCGCTTCGCCGACGATTGCGTCCGATTTCGGTTTGCGGGGACGTACCACGAGCCTGCACCGATGAATTTTATGACGGCGACTGTTTAATTTTCCAACAACGATCGGCTAATCGAGCTGCGATACGTTTCACATTTGCCGGGGAATTGATCCAGTCCCGTTAGAGATTCAATTCGATAGAGGCCGCTAAAGGATTAGCAGCGATTCGATGTCCACGTTTTCGATCGTCAATTAATCAGTCGCGCTATAGAATTCCTCTAATTTTCTTTTTCTCATTATAACGTTTCATCACAATGAATTTTCAAAGGGAATTATGAGTAATGACATGGAGTGTAGCATAGATTAGATTTAACTCGTTGAAGACTTAACGCTAGGAAATAAAGATTATCGGAAGTGTAGCAGCAATTCGGTGTGCAACCGATCAAGGATCGGACCAATCGGTCATCGGGTTTATTCGAGAATCTATCTCGCGGCAGAAATTGCAACTTTCGCCGGCTAAATCGTTCGAAGCTCTCGGGTTTTCGAGATGGACGCGAGCTCTCGTCGAGGCAGGGCTCCGATTATAACATTAGCAGCGGTCACGCGACCGTCGGAGAGGAGGCCGGAGGGTGCGGGGCCGATTTCCAAAGCGAGGTTTCCGTCGGGATAAGGTGGTTGGTTATCCGCGTGGAAACGTAACGAGGCAGATCGATCAAACATCGTGGAGGACGAGCGTAAATCGCGGATACGGCTGGTCGCGCACGGCACGGCACGGCCAGTTGCCAACCGGTACTGAACCGTCAGTCAGCAGTTGTCAATTGCGCTCAATGATACTGAAACGCCGAACCGAGCCGAGCTGCACCGCGCCGATCCATTACGCGCCGTTCTTCTCGAGTGACGCTCCAGCCCGTGTTGCAACACTCGCAACACTCGCGGCACTCGAAAACACTCGCAACACCGTCTCCCCGCGAACGGGGACTTATGGCTGGCCGAAGCTCTCCCTCTTCTCTCCGATAATCCGCTATTTGTTGCTATTAAAAGCGAACTCGAGAACTTTTACGCTTCCGACATCTCTATGGAGCTTTGTATGGAAATAGAATCCTCGTACGAGTTCCGCCGATTAAATAATGCTAATGAGATTAGAGGCTTTCCATAGGATCGCCGTGCTCTAGCCACAATGCGTATTCACCTGCTGCTAATCCTTAAGGGGAACGATGCCTCGCTGGCCGGACCAATCGGGAATTTAGCAGACCCACAGCGACGATTTTCGTCCGTCATGGGTCCAGCTTAGCTCCCAATATGTTGGCGATAATGTTGGATAAGAGATTCCACTTGCGCTGGAAAGACGTGCCACGCATGTCGTAATGCTTTTGTTACAGAATCGCCAACGACGTGGTATGTACGTCGTCATGCGATTGTCACAGAAACAAACGACGTGCATGGCACGTCGGGTGGGATTGTTTGCCAGAGCACGAATTATCATTGCCTGCATAGCGTACAATTGTCAATATTTAACTCATATTCTAAAATGGAAAATAAATTAGTTTAGAAAATATCAATCTTTTTCCGATTTCTGTGACGCCTCCCAGCGAGTTACACTGGACCGTTCTGGGACACGCGTCGGTGAATTTTTTGCTAGCGCAAGTGGTTAATAAAATCAACGTTTAGACGCGGGATGAAGAGGTGGTTGATTTTATCTGAAAATGCTGCGTCGTCTTCCAGGACATCCTTTAAAACTTTAACACTTATCACTCCAACCGGCAGTAATGCTGCCAAGCTTTAAGCCAGCGTTACAGCGTTCTATAAAATTCTTGGAGTGATAAGGGTCAACTTTTGCTGACCCATAAATGCATGACGGAATTATTTGCTCGGATTTGGAAATTCATTTTTACGCCGATCCAGTGGATTTTCCCGATCTTACATTAGGCTTAGCAAGAGGTAAGAACGTGGACAAAGTAATCGATCTCATAGAACCGAAGTTTGCAATTTCAATTCGATTAAATGCATTAATGTGTATTCGGTTAATAGTACATTAAATGATATATGAATGTATTAATATGACAATTCGATTAAATGCATTACTTTAACTCTAAATTGATATTGTTTAGGTGGCAGCCAAGGTGTCAAGGTTATCGCTGAACCAAACGTAAGATCAAGGAAGCTTCTCGAGAAACCTAGTGGAAGGCTCACAGATTGGCAAGTTCTTGAAGATTGTACGTTAGAAACAATTGGAGCTCAGTGCTGTTAAAAACGAACGATGTTTCACGAGCGAAAGGTTCGGGGAGATGGATCGTTAGGTCGTGGTCCGACCATTCGGTCCGGAAACGCTGATCTGGAGCAACGCGTATTTGGATCGCTTCCGTCCGAAGAATTCTTTAAAAGGAAATTTCGCAGAGGAAGCCTCGACACGGCCGGTTTCCCCGGTCGGTTTGCGCGTATCAGCGAGGAACGTAACGGCCGTTCCGCGCGTCGCAGCTTAGTGGTCGCGGTGCTTAGAAGCGGAACAGCTGACGACTGAGGCCCCAGCCGACACACCTGTTCGCCAGCTGCCTCGACAAAGGCACGGGCCCCGATAGAAACCCCGTGGCCGGCGTGCTCTCGCTTTCCTCTCGCGCCAGCGCGAGCCTGCTCCTCTTTTGTCGGCTGGAACCACCGGCTCCTCTACTCTACTCTCTTCTACTCTCTTCGCGCCGGAGAGCTCGCGTTTTCGCGGCGCGACCTTTTAAGGATTTCGCCGCCTGGAACCACACCCTCCCCGAGAAGCGTCGAAACAATGGCTCACCCGCTCCGCTACTGGGACCGGGCCCCCAGGTTTATCGCTCGATTTCGATCGGAGCGAGCAAAGGTCTGGCGAAGAGNCTCTATGGAGCTTTGTATGGAAATAGAATCCTCGTACGAGTTCCGCCGATTAAATAATGCTAATGAGATTAGAGGCTTTCCATAGGATCGCCGTGCTCTAGCCACAATGCGTATTCACCTGCTGCTAATCCTTAAGGGGAACGATGCCTCGCTGGCCGGACCAATCGGGAATTTAGCAGACCCACAGCGACGATTTTCGTCCGTCATGGGTCCAGCTTAGCTCCCAATATGTTGGCGATAATGTTGGATAAGAGATTCCACTTGCGCTGGAAAGACGTGCCACGCATGTCGTAATGCTTTTGTTACAGAATCGCCAACGACGTGGTATGTACGTCGTCATGCGATTGTCACAGAAACAAACGACGTGCATGGCACGTCGGGTGGGATTGTTTGCCAGAGCACGAATTATCATTGCCTGCATAGCGTACAATTGTCAATATTTAACTCATATTCTAAAATGGAAAATAAATTAGTTTAGAAAATATCAATCTTTTTCCGATTTCTGTGACGCCTCCCAGCGAGTTACACTGGACCGTTCTGGGACACGCGTCGGTGAATTTTTTGCTAGCGCAAGTGGTTAATAAAATCAACGTTTAGACGCGGGATGAAGAGGTGGTTGATTTTATCTGAAAATGCTGCGTCGTCTTCCAGGACATCCTTTAAAACTTTAACACTTATCACTCCAACCGGCAGTAATGCTGCCAAGCTTTAAGCCAGCGTTACAGCGTTCTATAAAATTCTTGGAGTGATAAGGGTCAACTTTTGCTGACCCATAAATGCATGACGGAATTATTTGCTCGGATTTGGAAATTCATTTTTACGCCGATCCAGTGGATTTTCCCGATCTTACATTAGGCTTAGCAAGAGGTAAGAACGTGGACAAAGTAATCGATCTCATAGAACCGAAGTTTGCAATTTCAATTCGATTAAATGCATTAATGTGTATTCGGTTAATAGTACATTAAATGATATATGAATGTATTAATATGACAATTCGATTAAATGCATTACTTTAACTCTAAATTGATATTGTTTAGGTGGCAGCCAAGGTGTCAAGGTTATCGCTGAACCAAACGTAAGATCAAGGAAGCTTCTCGAGAAACCTAGTGGAAGGCTCACAGATTGGCAAGTTCTTGAAGATTGTACGTTAGAAACAATTGGAGCTCAGTGCTGTTAAAAACGAACGATGTTTCACGAGCGAAAGGTTCGGGGAGATGGATCGTTAGGTCGTGGTCCGACCATTCGGTCCGGAAACGCTGATCTGGAGCAACGCGTATTTGGATCGCTTCCGTCCGAAGAATTCTTTAAAAGGAAATTTCGCAGAGGAAGCCTCGACACGGCCGGTTTCCCCGGTCGGTTTGCGCGTATCAGCGAGGAACGTAACGGCCGTTCCGCGCGTCGCAGCTTAGTGGTCGCGGTGCTTAGAAGCGGAACAGCTGACGACTGAGGCCCCAGCCGACACACCTGTTCGCCAGCTGCCTCGACAAAGGCACGGGCCCCGATAGAAACCCCGTGGCCGGCGTGCTCTCGCTTTCCTCTCGCGCCAGCGCGAGCCTGCTCCTCTTTTGTCGGCTGGAACCACCGGCTCCTCTACTCTACTCTCTTCTACTCTCTTCGCGCCGGAGAGCTCGCGTTTTCGCGGCGCGACCTTTTAAGGATTTCGCCGCCTGGAACCACACCCTCCCCGAGAAGCGTCGAAACAATGGCTCACCCGCTCCGCTACTGGGACCGGGCCCCCAGGTTTATCGCTCGATTTCGATCGGAGCGAGCAAAGGTCTGGCGAAGAGGGCTGATGCAACGGCCGGGCCCCGATGCCTCGAGAAATATGATTTGGACCTTTCGAACCTACTTTTTCTGTTTCCTCCGCATTGTGATGCTGGAAGTCGACCGGGAATAATGGGGTCAGTGTTGTTGCTCGACTCGACGCGGATCGATCGGGCCCTTAGATACACCGAATTGCGCCGAATTGGAAGATGACCAGCAATGTCGGACATAGCGAGTCGCATCACGTTGCGTCTCGTGCAGCCAGAAGGATGCTCCTTTTGCTCCAAGACGAACGGCAAGGAACTGTCTCCAATGGCTGTTTGTTCAATGGAAATTGACGATCCAAGAATTTCAGTACGAACTAGGCCACTTATTCACGAGTATAGGCTGCGTATTTTTATGCAGAATATAACTTCTTTTTAATTAAATCCTAAGAAACGGAAGTTTATTAGAAAAGTATTTCTTCTGTTAATAATTTTTATAAATCCACCAGACTAGGACAATGTTCCTAAGTTCTTTCAATTTCATCGTAAATTTGATCAGAAATACGCTGTGTACTTACGAGATACTCGGGTGACCGGGTATCTCACAGGTTCAATTGAAATCACTGGCCTAGAAGGAACTCTTCCGACGCGCAAGGCAAACGAGCATTCGTGTGTTGGATTTAAACGAGTCATCGGAATTTGAGCAACAGATTGTAGCGTAATCAAGCGACAGCGGAAACAAAAGTAGCTGCTACCGCAGCAAAATCCAGCGCGAAGTAGATACGACCGTTCCTGGTCAGAGACAACGCCCCAGTCGTTCTCATTTCCGCGAAAGCAATCCCAGCATACTCGCCGAGGATCTTTAACCCGGTGTCGCGTTGATGCGACGTTTCATTTGCAGTTTCAACCGATTTGCATTGTCGAGCTCGCCGTGTCCCAGGCGCCTTGTTCGTTGCGCCAAACCGTTTTCTCGTTCGCGTTAGCAAAGAATTTAGTAGAGGGGAGTCGTTGTTCAATTTCCTGCGTTCGCTGAAGACGATCCCCCGAGAGATCCGCTTGGTCCAGAAATTCTTCGACTTCGTCGAGTTCCAAAAACTGTTCGCTCCGAAACGAGCTAATATCGGTGTTTCCGACCGTTGGATCGACGTTGCTCGATCTCGATCTCGACCGCAGACGATTTCGACCGATTCGTCGTCCAAGCCGCGCCACGCCCCGCTCGAGAGGCCCGAGACAATGGTCCGGCGTTTCGCGGCTCGATCCGAGTCGAATCTCGAGGCAATAATAGTGGCCCTCAGCTGCTCTCGCGATTTTTTGTCGAGCGCGGCGACTCTCGCTGAGATCGATCCCTCTTCGGAGTCGCGCCCCCGGCTGCGTTCCCGGTCCTCCACCATGGTTCCTTCGTTCCTTCCTTGTTTTTCGGCCCCCTTTTGTCCTCGCGACGTTTCTCAGCCGTCGGCGAACCGTCTACTGCCATGAATTTCCTTCTGTACCGGCTCCGTACAAATCGATACCAACGAAACCGCTCTCCGCGCGCAAAGAGACGGAGAGTGGCA